TTATGGAATAATTAACAAAAAAAGAAAAAAACCAAGCAATGTTTAGATGTAATATGAAATTCATTAAAGTACTGCTTGATTTTTGCTAATAACTACATTGCTAAGCTTCTATGAAAAATTTTCATCAGGTTAAAGCTCATATTTGAAAAATATCCATGATAAGGAAGAAATAATCTTGTATTTTAGATAACTATATTTATTTTTAATTATTGTGAAATAGTAAATTGTGTAAATAATAATAGATTTTACTAGTAATTATCTTTGAATATATGCTTGATAAAATTGTTTGGAATAATGATCAGTTGGTATTGAGAACACCAAGTTCTCTTATAACATAGCTTAATGTTCAGAAATTTTATATTATTTTTAATATAAAGACTTAATATAAAAATTTAAAGATTTATTGAAGAATCTGTTGAAGTGAGTTATAATTTTGTGATTTATATTTAGTAAGATGATTTCAAATTGTTAGTAGTTAATATTGTTTAATTATAACATGGAGTCAGGTGAATCTATAATTTTACACAGAATAATAATAATCATGAGGTTCGTTCAAATCTGAAGCTGTCTTTGTTCTATAACTTCACAAGCTTGGCCGAAAGTTGAATTTTCAATATATTGTTATAAATTTCATCAAAATTTAGATTATTCATCCTTTATTCATCCAATGTTCCTAAAATTTGGCACAAACATTTGTCTATAACAGTATACTTTGATCATCCAAATTTTAATTGATTAGTATAATTTAAGGTGAAGCTATCAACAATGGAAATTCGTAATCATCTGACACATCTTTGTTCTTTAGGACAATGTTCAGGCAGCAGTAATTTTAGCATCAATTATCTGATTGGCATGAAATTTAAAAGAAATAGTCATACCTTTCCTATTTGCTGATTTTCCAGGTTTTGTAGCAATTGGATTTGCAGTGTGTGAAAAACAGTAAAAAAAACAAGAAAAAAAATTTGCTGCAGTTTTCACCACACTTCTTCCTTGGGAATTTTTCTATTATTCCTCTTCAGATGGTGTCTGCTAAGCCCATAACCCAATGTGGCTGGTGCAGAGTGTGGTAGCAAGGTAAAGAAAGGAACTGCTTAGTTGTAATAGAGTTTAATGTAAGTACACACTGCTGAGGTACAAAAGCACATATGTCTACATAGGGTCTTCTTATAAATGAAAAAATTTAACCACCACCTGGAATGGCTCTAGAAGAGTGCCATGATACTCTTGCCAACACACACAATACCATTTATGGAAAAAAAAGCAAAAATTCAAAACAAGCTATGTAACTGGCAACAGTAATTTTCAGACTCTTGTCAATAGAGACTAAAACAATAAATCATCATATGAAGCACTCAAACTATTGTGGTTAGCTTGTTTACTTTAGAGAAAAGTATAGTTACAATTATATCTGATACTTTTAAGAGAACAGTCATAATAAAATAAAAAATTGGAACTAAGTAGGCTTAAAAGAAAAAAATAAGTTTGGCATCAATAGTAAATATGTTAATTAGATGATAAAAAAAATTTCCTGATTTAGTTCTCATCATTTTGTCAATATTTTCTTGTGAGCTGTTCATGTATCCCCTGGGTAAACATATCACAAATTTCAGAACCACTGCTGTAAAACACACAAAATAAAAACAAAACTTCTTTAATGGAGATTAACAAGAAAAATCTGAGAAAGTTCAAGCATTTTCAAATTGTAACATTCACCATGATTGGATGCTCATGAAAAGGAATATTTCTTGAGCATCCAATGAATGTGAATATTATAGTTTGAATAGCACTTGGACTAGCTCTAACACTCACTATCATAAACAATACAAATTATTTTTATAAATGTTTAAACAATTAGTTTTGTTAAAATTCTTTTAATATTTATAAATTTTTTAATAAAAAAATATACATGATCATTATTACTATTATTATATTTTTAAATTTTAACTTAAAGGTTCATGGTTGGCATGAAGAAATGGCCCTCTTAGACCAACTGAATTGATACAGAAAATAAATTTCATGTTTGCCATGTGTTTGGTCATGCTCATAATAGCAATAGACATATAATGAAAGGAGGAGGGAGGAGGTTAGCCAATATATCTGGATTAATCCACTTATGAAAATTTGAGTCAATCTAGACTTGGAACTGATTCTGTAGAGAAACAGACTGATCTCTATCACTTCAGTCATCCACCAATCATTATCACTAATGAATTTTTATAATTAATTCAATAACTAAACTAGTCCTAAATAATTAAAACATTATCAGTTTTTCTGTTTCCTTTGAAGTATTCAACTTTTCGAAGTAATTACTCAAAAATAAAATAGTATACCAAAAAATGAATGGTTATTTGATTACATAAAATGTAATCAAATTCTTGCATTCTTGATAAAAGATTTTTACTAATAAGAAAAATGGGAATTAAATAGCTATTTTTTTCATCCAAAACTATCACCATGCTATGTTTAAACATATAATTGACTGAATTGAATTATATTCATCTTAGAAACTTGAATTAAATAGATGTTCATTTTTAACATAACCTTAACAATATAGGTTTAAAAAAATAAGTTTTTTTAATAAGCTAAATAAAATTTATTAGTTTTGAAATTCACAATATTTTTATTATTGTGCAAATAATAAAAATAAATTATGAAATTTTTTATTTGAATAATTTTAAACCCACTAACATTTTTTATAGTTAAAACATAAGTATCAATAACAGTATAATTTTTGTAAATTGCTGAATTTTTATTTAATATTCAAAATAAACCATTCTGTTATACTGTCCCGAATAATTCATTTGATATAAATAAGTTAATTACATAATCTACAATTAACAAAATAAATGAATATTACCATAATTAACAAAATGTTGATTATAAGATTTAAATGATTATAGATTCCTATTGTGAATTATTTGAATCTGAGAAATTCTGATTATTATTTTGTATAAAATTATAGATTCATCTGACTCCATATTATAATTAAACAATATTCACTGCTAACAATTTTGAAGGCATCTTACTAAATATAAATCACAAAATTATAACTCACTTCAACAGATTCTTCAATAAATCTTTAAATTTTTATATTAAGTCTTTATATTAAAAATAATATAAAATTTCTGAACAATAAGCTATGTTATAAGAGAACTTAGTGTTCTCAATACCAACTGATTATTATTCCAAACAATTTTATTAAGCATATATTCAAAGATAATTANTTTGTTAATTACACAATTTACTATTTCACAATAATTAAAAATAAATATAGTTATCTAAAATACAAGATTATTTCTTCCTTATCATGGATATTTTTCAAATATGAGCTTTAACCTGATGAAAATTTTTCATAGAAGCTTAGCAATGTAGTTATTAGCAAAAATCAAGCAGTACTTTAATGAATTTCATATTACATCTAAACATTGCTTGGTTTTTTCTTTTTTTGTTAATTATTCCATAACTTTTTCCAAGTGTATATATTTTTTATTCTTAATGTCAAGGAAATATAATAATCTAACAAATTTGTGGATCTTAGCCAATAAAGTTGTTACTTAAAATATACCTTCCAAAACTTGGAATTAGACATCTTTATATTATATGTTAAATATGTTTAAAACACTCCCATGTTATTTTTTATGTAAAAAATTTTTATTCTAAAATTAATTTTTACTATAATAATTAGAAAACTTTCTTATTAGATATTTCTAAAAATAGTTTTTTAAAAAATCAATATGATGACTTTTATATTAATACAAGTAATCTGTGCTATAAGAAATGATGATAATCATTTCTTATAGCACAGAAGTGTGAAAGAAATGCAATTGCATTTTATTAGTATATATATATACAGTATAAACACGTATTACCTAATTACACTTATCACTTGACATTGGCAGATACAGATAAATTCTAATTCAACTATATCTGCTACAAGAAAAGGCCAAATTTGTTTTCAATATGAAAGTCAACACTTGATTTTTTAATACATTTTAGAGATAACATATTTTTTAGAAAATCTCACATAACTATTACACTTTTCCAATATTATATTCATTCATATAAATAGTAGATATATAGATTTATGTACCACTTGTACAAACTGTTTAAAAATTTTCCAACTTTCAATCCATTTTATTCCATATATTGATTATCATCAAAATTTTAAACAGTTGTAGAATGATTGTTTCAAATATTAAAGTAAAAATTTCAAGATTAGTATTGTCTTAGATGCTGGGAAGTATTCATTGTATGTAAACTAACTGAATACAATGAGCAGTCCTTTTTTCAGTCTAAAGATGGATTGAAGAAGACCTGTAATTGACAACTGTCAACTTACAGATCAATCTTTTCTTCACTCCATCTTTAGACTGAGAAAGTGTGTGTTCTCATTGTGTTCAATCAATTTACAGTTTAAAATTAGTCATTTGGTTACTGAAACATAAACATTGATTTGTGCCAATTCTAAGATCAATATTGAAACTTTTTTAAGTGAACAGGGATTGTAACATCATTAAAATATATTTTCATTTGATATCTATAATTCATAAAAACATTTATAATTTTCATATTTAAAGTTCCATATTAATGGACATTGAATTGAATCAATTTAAAAGCGTTTTTAACTTTAACAGAAAAAGTAGCAATCTGCTTCTGTAAAAATATATTAATAAAGTTAATTTTAGGAGTAGCTACATGTTCTAATAAAATCACTTCTCTCATTATTCCTTAATATAGATTTCAGAATTATTCTGCAATATAGATAACACAATAAACTGAAATGCTTGATTACTTTTATACTTATCGATGTCAAAAAAAAGTCAATCCCATTCCCAGCTAGACTTCTTGGGTCCAGACAAGGGAAGATGGGTTTACTGTTTGTTGTTTCCATCTAGACTGAAGACAACAGCACCTGAGAGTAAAGAGGAACCAAATCAGACAAATATCACACAATTATAAAATATTTATTCTAATTTACAACAATAAAGCACAACTTTTTCTTTCAAACAGCAACTGTTATAATTTTTGCAACTATTCAATATAAACTATAAATTACATTTAACAAATTTAGACCGTATATATATTTTCATATTATACATTTTTAACCAAAATTATTTGACAATCATTACAATTTTTACATTAATCTGATATTCAATTCATAAGAATATATCTTATTCACTAGAGGATTCATATTCTTTCCCAGATTCTCCTTCCGTAGGATATAGCTTTTTTCTTAAAGTTTTGTGATGCTGTTGAAGTACTTCATTTTCTTCTTGATGTTTTAAAAGTTCTTGTTGTAAGTCATCTAATGCATACCTGGGATCATACTGTAACAGCTGATCTTGCAATTTGATAACTTGCTGCTCAAGATCATGATACATATCTATCAGTTTATTGTGAGGTGTTTGCATTAGTTCATCAAATCTGGCTTTATAGTAAGCTGTTTCAAAATCCCTAGCATAAAACTGAGTGGTGTCGACATCGTCTGCCGATGCGTATTCGTAATCAATATCTTGAAATGCAGCATCACTTTCATATGATCCTTTAAATGTTTCAATAAGTTCAGTTCCATAACTTAAGTTAGATTCATCGAACGGTTTTTCAAAACTGATATACAGCTGGGAATCTTCGTGATCATCAATAATGAACTGAGTGGAGTTTTCGGGAGCCTTCGGCACATGAATTGGCCTTATAATTACCGAAGACAACCTCCTCTTTTTATTCGGAGAAGGGACTGTGTCCGAATCTTCTAACAACGAATCTTCAAACGTTTTGTTCACTTCGTCCATTGGATCGGCATCCGAGGTCGACCTATCAAAAGACATATGTACGGTATCTGCATCTTCTTCGTCGCCAACACTTTTATACCTTTTCTTTTTACCTCGTCTCGTCTTTCGTTGTTTGAAAATATTAACGGAAACAGAATCAGTTTCATCCATTACATCAGCAGAATTAGCATATTCTACAATTGAATTGTCCATTGCCGAAACACCACCGTCAAGAGTCATGATGATTTCTTCCAAGATATACCCCTAATAACGTAATAATAAAACTTAACCTAAATAATAAATTATAAAATAAATAATTTTCTAAAGATATGCTTAATCCCTCCGAAAACTAAAAACTGACAAATGTTAAACTAAACCAAAAAAAATATTAAAAAAAAAAACAGAATCCCTCACTTCTTCCTAAACAAGTAGAAGTTCCGTAAAGCAATAACGCAACGACCGATAACAGATCAATTCAGTTAATCTAAAGTCAAAAGCGTTATCCTTCCCTAAGCCTTAATGGATATTATATTTACATCCAATCAACGCTATAAAATGTTCTAAATTAAGGCTCTTAACAAGAACCTACCATTCGTTCAACCGTCATTCGCAATAATGGAATAATACAGAAAGGTTGCCAAATATAAAATATATATTGATTACTCAATCGCTTATCTATAGTTTTACGATTTTTTAAATATTACATTTTATTATATTTTGTGATAAATTATTAATATATATACATAATTTCAGATAAATTAATTTAAAATATAATAATTATACACGTATTAATATTATCAAAGCAAAATTCAAATTATGGTTGGTGATTTTCGGATAGTTCCTTTAACGTCATGAAATAATGACGAACGATAAAAAGAATAAATAGAACGAAAATAAAATATTTTTTATTCGTTTAGTTATGCATTAAATGTTTAGTTGCTTTCTTTGAAATTAAAACTAATGAGTTTAGGGCTCGTTCTTAAAAATTATAGTTTGTTTATTTCGTTACGACAAGCGACACATCGGCGATTTGCTGCAGGGAGTGCTTCCGAGGACGATTTTTTTTATGAGAAATTGGCTCCTATTTAGTTAAAAATCATTGTATGAATTCAGATTTAGTGCTAGTAATAATCGGGATATAAATTGTGACGATTTATACGACGAAATTAAAATACTTTGTGCCGTACGCAGCAATGGTACAACTAATGCAACTCCATTATATGTTTTCAACATAGTATCTAAATTGCAGAGTCCTTCCCGAATCTAACTAGTATTGTCAATAGAACAAAAATATACGAAAAAGTGGATTTTGATGATATATTAAGGATTTCGCTGAAATCAAAACACGGAGTATAAATTTATGATATAATTCTTTTTAACAGTGGCGTGCCGTCCATGGAAGAGGTGGAAGCGCCACTTTCCTTGTATTTTCTAAAATATAAACACATATTGTGCGATTGTTTTCATATTTTAATTAATGTACTTTGAATTACTTAAAATTCATATTTTATTATAACCACATTATGTATTTTATTACAAATTTATATACATATGTAAAACAATGATAAGATTGCTATTGTCAGAGTCGGTAGATTAACTGGTCTTTCGACTTCCTATCTTCGCTCGTTGCTAAAATCAACTAGAGACAAATGTTACCACCGGGGGCACTGCAATCACAGCAAGAGCGCTAGATCGAATTGCTGTGAGGTCGAATGTTTTCTTTTTATTGAAAGACTAGCTGCAAGGACCCGCTTCGCTGGGTTTTTAAAAAGTAACGATAGTGAAGATTAAGATAATTACATTATAGCCAATCTTACCCGTTTTCACAGAATGAAAGAATTAGGCCCCCCGTATCCAGAGTAATTAGAGACCTGGTCCCGATTCTATTTCTGAACGTCTCCTGTTCACGTCCAGTCAAACGAATTATTAAAGAGGTTGCGGCCGACGTTTTCAACACGAAAACGTGTACGTCGGACGTTCAGTGCCGCCATCTTGTAAGCCCAGAAGTTTGACAATGGCGTTTAGAACGTCGAACATGATTCCACTGACGTTCCAAACACTATTGTCAAACTTCTAGGACTATAGGAAGGCGGCGCTGAACGTCCGACGTACACGTTTTCGCGTTGAAAACGTCGGCCGCAACCTCTATTTTCAACGTTTCTGGAACGTTTACAATCGTTCTATAATCGAACCAATATTCGAATTTTATGTTCGAATTCAAATTCGAATATTGTTCGAATTAAATTCGAACAAATTCGAACAAAACATTCGAAATAGAAAACCACTTTCAGCCCCATATCTCCCGCACCCTTATAGCTATCGAGACGCAACCACCATAGTGCACGAATGGAGACTTGGGGCTACTACCACATACAAACACCATTCATGTGCGATGTGTAGTTTTGGCGGAAAAGTGAAATATGGGGACACACACGTCCATTTATATATATATATATATATAACCTTCGAGTTCGATTTCATAATTTTTTATATGCATTTTATTATAAGAATGAAAAAGCTTTTATTTAAACCCAAAACCAGGTTTATGGATTAATAAATGACACTTAATAAAACATTAAACACCTTCCATCGCTGAGAAATGCTTATTTAATAAAATACGTTCGAACTCATTTACACCTGGGATGGTTTATTCCATGAGGCTGAAAATGTCAACAAGGGTTTAACAAGGTTTAACGACCTGTTGGACAACATCGTCATTAGACAATCATTTCAGATTGTTTCCAATCAGGAAGAGAAGATGCAAAATGAGAAAAATGTTGATCACTATCTCGACGTTCAGTTTCGCCCGATTCGGGAGAATATTCCGTTTCCGGGTGTGGGAATAAACGGAAAATCTTCCTAGAGACGGACAGAACAGTCGTAGCCTTGTGGGGCCGTCATCATAGACCAGAGGTGTTTGCATTAGTTCATCAAATCTGGCTTTATAGTAAGCTGTTTCAAAATCCCTAGCATAAAACTGAGTGGTGTCGACATCGTCTGCCGATGCGTATTCGTAATCAATATCTTGAAATGCAGCATCACTTTCATATGATCCTTTAAATGTTTCAATAAGTTCAGTTCCATAACTTAAGTTAGATTCATCGAACGGTTTTTCAAAACTGATATACAGCTGGGAATCTTCGTGATCATCAATAATGAACTGAGTGGAGTTTTCGGGAGCCTTCGGCACATGAATTGGCCTTATAATTACCGAAGACAACCTCCTCTTTTTATTCGGAGAAGGGACTGTGTCCGAATCTTCTAACAACGAATCTTCAAACGTTTTGTTCACTTCGTCCATTGGATCGGCATCCGAGGTCGACCTATCAAAAGACATATGTACGGTATCTGCATCTTCTTCGTCGCCAACACTTTTATACCTTTTCTTTTTACCTCGTCACGTCTTTCGTTNGCGTTTAACGCGCGTTGAAAAACGCCTAGTGTGTACAGGGCCTTAGACGTAGAAATAAATTATTTTTGTTAATGTTAACTGTGGATTGTCTGAATCTTTTATAGTCTCTTAATAGAACCCAAGAGGAGCAGCGCTTGATGAAAGGGACACTCCTACTTACCCCTGTCTAGGAACACATCATAGAAGGGAAATTGAATGTCCATACAAAAGTTGACCGTCATAGTCAGGTAATCATATAAAAATTACTTGAGAGAGGTCTTGGAAGTGTTAACAAATGTAGCTTCATATATGGATGACGAATAAAATGAAAAAACTTTCCTTGTAGGGTTTTCTTGGCACGGCCGTCAAAAATTCGGATTCTTTTCTGTCCTCCAGCGGTTAAGTGGAGTCGGCGGAGTCTTGGGATGTCAGCGCGAAGGCTAACGCTGATTTGCTCCGGAGATTCCTTCGGTTCATTTGTTAGTGGAAACCTACAAAAAGATATGATATCAAATGTGTAAGCTCTCTCTCGGCTCCTTTTAACTTGTACTCGGTAGTTAGGAAAGATAGAAGTTATGTTAGTTTCGTTATTGTAATCGTCTTTTGTTATTCAATAAATCGTTGATTTTCTTGTTAAATGGTGTCCTTGCTCGTATAAAGCCGACGACCCCTCTCTCCTCCTCTACTCGATCAAATACACGATTCCGATCCTTCGGGACAGAAACAGTAAACCAGCCATCCCCTGACAAGTGGACAGTTTCCACCAAACTGTTGCCGACAAAAAGAGGTACGACCTCGTCATACCTCCGGCGTCCCACATAATTGGTTTTTCAGGAGTGGGGTTCGACTTTTTCGAATTATCGGTGAGACGAGAAAGGTCGATTCTAGTCGAATTAGGGACTTTAAATTAAGGAGAATTGTAAAGTCGTTATAGGCCGTAGATTTTAATATCAGTAGAAATAATGGAGGACGATCCCCATCTTGCGGCTGGGCCAGGCAACCCAAACCCAATTACCTTGGGAGGCTTAGGTTGAATAATTCCTTTATTGCCGGTATTCTCTGGAGAAACGGGAGGTCCCAGAGTCACGGATTTTTTTGATTCATTAGCGGATGTCACGAAGGTAGCGGCATGGACGAAGGCACAAATGCTGGCGGTAGCCAAGCTAAAACTTACCGGTATAGCTCGGGAATTTGTAAGAAAAGACCGTAGACTTAAGGAGATAGAAGAGTTCGATGAATTCAAACGGTTAATAATACAACGGTTTGACCGTGAGCCGTAGCCTATACCCTTCGATTAAATAAATTCTATGCATGCGTCCAAAGGAAAGAGGAGGATGTTCAAACGTATGCCGCCCAACTTCAAGCCCTGTCTATGGAAATTGTAATTACGCCAGAACCAGGCGCAAACGAAACTAACATAACTTCTATCTTTCCTAACTTCCGAATACAAGTTAAAAGGGGCCGAGAGAGAGCTTACACACTTGATATCATACCTCTTTGTAGGTTTCCACGGCGATTCAAGTTCACACAGATATCCAAGAAGTGGGTTTTTAGAGTACAGTATTCCAAATAGGCACAGGTAAAAAGTTCGCGACTGTGGCGACGGACGATATCGCTTTTGGGAGGCTCGGATTTACGGCAGGTTCAGAGATTCTACTCGACGGTCTTCGATGTCGTTGGTCTGGCTTTCGTTAAGAGACTCCCCGGAGGGGGAATGAGGTTTTGAATTGAAATAACGTAACTTCCGCTTCGCATCAGACGTTCGTATAGTTTAATCATTAAGAAACCAAAAACGGGTAAGATTAAGATAGTTCTCGATAAACAAAATCAGCTGTCATGTTGTAAGTGTGATGAAATATACGATAAGCACAGATCTTTAATGAGTTAGCAATACTGAAATACGAGCGCAGACGATTTCTAAATTTAACAGAAAAATTCATCACCAAACGATTATTGATGCTAATGTCTGAAATCCCATTTAATCGATGCAAGATGTGTGATTACCAGAGCCCCTTCCGCCGCCAATTTAAAGTCTTTTAATCTTTAAAATTGGCGTTTCCACTTCCCGGGACGAGGACCCAGGGGTTGGATTTGTGGGAAGCGAGTGTTCGGGTTGTTTCGAATTACACAGAACGAGGCGCTTGACATGTAAGTGCGTGAGTGCGAGAATTCGAATAAAGGTTAAACGGTGTATATCTTCGTGTACGGTGATGTTATGTCCGTGTGCAGAGGCGGCCTTAACCATTGCGAGGCTCCGGGCGACAGATCTTTGCGAGGCCCTTCTCCTTTGTGCAAAGTATGTGAATTGAAAGTAGGTATTTCTGATGATTGACAAGAAATAGAAAAGTTATAAATGAATAAATTTAGAGTTTTAAAATATTATATTAGAAGATTTATAAAAGTTAACAAACATAAAGACGACAAATTATTATTATTTTTTTACTCTTTCCACTCTGTGGGCAGTAAGAGGGCAAATCCTAATGGTCCTGCTATAAGAGCACAGCAGGCCCACTACAGTTCGGCTAGGCACACAATCGGACGACAGGTGGTGAGGGACTGGACCCGACATATCCGAACGAACCACCCCGAAAAATTCCTTGACCCATCCGGATTCGATCCTAGGTTTTCCAGAGCGGTAGGCTGTCATCTTGACTGTTCGGCCATCCGGTCTACGACGGCAAATTATTAATGATGATAAACTAAGGTACATAAATGCCTTAAAAGATATACACGGGTTTTAAAAATGAACCATTTCAACATACAATCTTTGTGCAGTCAGCTAGATTCATGAGACTTTAGATAATCACCCAAGTGTTTCCAATCACACACTCCTTCATTGGATCCAATTCTTGTATTTTCTAGTCCGAACGTTCGACACGGAAAGCAGTAAACGGCATCCTTTGTTTGTGAATAAATCATCCAGCACTTGTCAAGTTTTTCACCATTAGCTAATATTTTACTGTAATGATATTCGCCGAATCGCCGTCCATTATCATTTACATGGAAAAAATCAACTTTAACCCGGATTGGACCTTTTAATACAATCTCAGTTTGGTCTACACCAGTAATTGTTAATGGCCACAAACCTGGGTTATTTTGAGGATTCAGATTTTCAATTCTGCCAGTCATGAATGTAGACATAGACTCAGATATAATACTTGGCTGGATAGGGTTGACAGCGGCGATGGCGGTGGTGTAAGAGACAATGATGATGTTGACTCATTATCCTCGTTATTATTACTAGGTGGCAGCAGCACCCATGACGATATTGAAAGAATAATTTCAGCTGGGTTAGGGTTACAGTGCAGTAATGTGTCACTTTCAGTCAATGGAGGGTTTCTAGAAGTTTCTTGACCATCACTTTTTATTTATTTATATAAAGAACCACGTAGATTTTCTTCTACCCGCTTTTTTTGATAGCTCGTTTCCGTTTTGAACTACCCGACTCAAATTTTCTACCAGCATCACGATCAAGCGATATTATCATAAATCTTGTTTCTCACATAAAACTAATTCAGAAATAATTTACAAGCAGTTTTATACAGTTTTATTTTTTTAACAATTCACTCTTTACCATAAGTACTGTTAATAATGTAAGATTTACTAAAACTTAATATCATTTAATGTTTACTTACCTACTGAAAGATATGTGCCATACAAACGATTATGTAACGCATACAGCTGCTAGCAAAATAAGCGTCAGGTAACAAGAATTGATAAACGAAATGAAACACGGGGATACCCCGAGCGTAAATCGTAAACACAATAAATCACGAAAGTAATAAACCCGCGCGTTCAAGTGAGTTTTCTAAGCGCGAGGCGAAGGATTCGAATAGTAATAAATTTTTCAAATATGTTTTACAGTTAAATTACAAAAAATATTATTATTCACTGATAAATAAATAAATTAATTTTGATATCGTTAATCTTACTTTTTATTCGAATGTGAGATTGAATAAATCTAAATGAGAAATTTTATTTAGACACTTAATAATAATATATACTGTACTATGAATTAATCAAATTTATTTTATTGTTATAACTAATAGCTAAGGATAAAATAAAATGTTTTAAATATCAACTTTTTTCTACTCGGGTTGTTGAGCGAGGCCCCTCCAAGAGCGAGGCCCCGGGCGATTGCCCTGCTCGCCACCCCCTAAGGCCGCCTCTGCCTGGTAGTATTATTATTTTCGTCTTCCGGACAGTTTTTACAGGCTAAAAATTATGGTATTCGTAACGCTAAAATGGCACAGGGTTTTATATGGCCTATTCTTTCAAAAGCTAAGATTAATTCTGCTCATATTTCTATAAAATTTTTTCACTCGATGATTTCATCTGTACTACTTTATAAGCTCCTGTACGGGCAATTACTTATCACGATAAAATGGAAATTGTTCTTGCTTTGTTATATCTTCAAAGAATCTTTTGATATACTATAAAATACTAGCTTATATATTGCGATTGGGGTTTGATGTTTCTAAAATATCGGTATTAATAATAAAAGCAATAATTTCTTACTGGATTACACTGTTGAAACTACATGATAACTGTTATGTTAAAGTAGCGTATAACAAAATGTATAAATTATGTTTAAATAGGCGAAATAAAGAGAACTGTTTTAATCTCGGTCTCTGTTAATTATCCATAATTAAGAAAGACGTGGTAGATATTACTAGTCTGACAATCAATCAATCAATTTATTTACGGAGGCATAAATGCATACATCGGCTCCGCTATGAGCACTACCAAGGAAATAAAATACAGGGATGTAAACAAACAACAGTATGCACATTGTAGATTCCATGCAGAACTTTAATGGATAAAGTCCATAGAATTATTAGTCTGACAATTGGAAGAAGAAACCTTCACTTATAATTTTTTATACGCTCTCCAGCCTGACGAAATGGAGTCTGTCTCCTTTCGAGTTGTTTCGGCCGAGACACTATTTTCTCTCGATGGCGTCCTTTTCATTTCTAAAAAGTGAGGAAATTCTAGGGTTT